TAGGCATCAGTTCTCATTCAATGGTACACAACAACAACAACAACACAACATGGGAGAAGTGAAGTGTGGCTGGGGTAGAAGCAAGCACATGCTCAGTTTGGGACATCATGTTAGCACTCCTTAGACATTGAAATAAGTAGTCTTGAGCTCAGAAGAGAGCATGGATGATGACACATGTTGGTCATTATTTTTCTAAATGCAATTTTGCAGTGGTAACTGGACATAAGAGAGTATAAAGGAAGTTGAAGCATATCCACTGTAGTCCCTTATACTCTGTTTCTTGTAAGGCATATATGACTTAGTAGTATTTTCCCAAATAATTTCATCTGAACCTCATTAATTTGAAGACTAGCATTTTAAAAAATTTTGAATAAGCAGAGGTTGGTCTGCAATTACCCTTTGCTTGCATATGAACAATAGATACTAAAATAATGGTCAATTTCAAGTCACCTTTTTGGAATGAGAATAAATATGGACTTCTTCTAGTCCAAATTTCTTGGCACAGAGTCCATCCAGGGTTGTACCTTTTGCTGAAACACCTCAGTTGGTATTCCACCAGTCCCTGTACTATTATTTGTTTTGCCAGGGAGTTTAACACAGCGTGCTCTTCTCAAATACTCTCAGTACATAAACAGGAGGCATCAGTGCTTGGAAAAAAGCTTCACACTTGGAAAAGTAGAGAAAGGGTCAGCAAAAAAGAAGCAGGCCTCAAAGAGATGGATGGACACAGTGATTGTAACAATGGACTTAATCATGGACGGAAATAATGAGGATGATGCAAGATAGGACAAGATTCCATTGATCATATGGTTACTCTGAGGCATAATTACCTTGAAAGCACCTAGCAACAATATATAACAGATACAATGCAGTTGTCAAACTTATTCTGGAAAAACATTCTACTTTTACTTGTTGTTGCTGGGTGCCATCAAGTACGACTCATAGTGACCCAATGAATGTAAGATCTGAACCCTGCTCTGTCCTGCGCCATTCTCACACTTCCTGACACACAAGAGCCCATTGCAGCAGTCACCATGTCAATCTGTCTGGTTGACAGTCTTCCTCTCCTTCACCAACCCTCTACTCTTCCCACCATTATATTCTACTCTAAGGAATAGCCCCTCCTAGCAGCATGCCCAAAGTATGTGAGGTGAAGCCTCATCATTCTTACCTCCAAAGAGCACTCTAGCTGAACATGGTTATAAATCATAACTCCAAATTCAGCAGGAGATTTGCATTTAAATAGGTGTCATTTTATGATTAATAAATTTTGGTTGTATCACATACTTGAAAATATATGTAAAAAACAAACCACAAAACCAACCAAACAACAAAACACAAAAAGAACCCAACATCAACCAAATCTAGGCAACTCACAGCTTTGTTATAAACCAGTCCACTTTGTGGTCTTATTTACACTCTGGGGTCTTAATTAGTGACACGTTGCCTATAATTAGGCTTAATACATCCCACACAATCTCAACAAGGAAGGGTGAAGAAAATGAAGACATTTCCAAAGTTATTTATTGAGAAAGAGTAAAGATGTACATATTTTTACAAGCTTTTAATATTAATTTACATTTCTTTAAATTACGTAGGCCCCCAATAAACTCTACCTTACTAGTACATGACAGAAACCCTTGACTTTCACTGTGAGATTTCCATAATGCTACAATAGTTGGGAGTCAAAATGCAACTTTGGCTCATGATGCTTCAATTGACTTTTTAAAGGAAATACTAAATGCCATATTCACTGAGAATGCAGGTTTGTCATAAACAAATGTGCTGTCACAAGAAATTCATACTGGAGCATGCTACTGACACTATTTGGAATCTTAGCTTTCCAGAGGAAAAAGCAAAAGAAAAACAAACAAACAAAAACCAACCCAAAACATTCATAGAGAAAGTTACCTACATATTGTGTGCAAAGTACTTGATTCTAATTTATCCTACTTTGTGGTTTCTCAATTTGATTTACAAACTTTTCCAGAGGTATAATGATTTCTTCTCATACAACATAACATTGTAGCCAACCCAGCTACTTTGTTTCTGGAATTACATGATCTTGATATTTTTCAAGTGCAACAGGAGTTGGTTATCACTCCTAGCACCGTTTGTATAATAGCCAAAACCTCATCGCAGTTACCACTTTTCAAACTGGATTACAGCAAGGCACAACATTTCGTATGCAAATAGAATAGAGAGATTTGCCAAAGGAGTGTTATATTTTTGTTTTTTTTTATTTTGCAGATCACAGAGGATTTTCTGTGCCTAAGGTGGGAAGGGTGACGGTAACGGTGGGGTTGAGTGTGGCAGAGATTGTCAGCGGGTGCAGGATAGGATAACTTCGCTCTTCTGCTCACGGGGTCGCTAGGAGTCATAGACTATGTCACTGCACTTAGCAACAATTACTGCAAGGTGGGTAGGGCAGAATTCTAGCTTTGCACATGCTCAAAATCACAAGACCCTGCTGTGATGCTGACTTGTCAGCCTGTACTGTTGTGCCAGACAAAGTGTTCTCTGTCAACCTACCAGTTAGGTCTTCTGTTGGCCACCTCTTCTGAACACCCAACCAGAAGTGTGCATGAGAAACAGCACTGAGGGAGGCACAGCAGTAGCCCCATCATTGCTTTTGGAAGGGTTCATTTTGCACCTGCAGGGATAGCAGCATAAGCAGCTTTGCTTGTTTCATTTAAAAAAAAAAAGAATGAAAAAATTTAGATGTGATGCCACAATATTGTCTTTAAAGAAACTGGCTCTACAGTTACTTTTATTCACAGCAATCAATATTTAGGTTTTAGTACACAAAATAATTAAGTTCAGATTAATAGTGCTTGACTTTTTAAAACTAGTCTTTGCAAGCTAAGAAGGCCACCAGAAATGGGATACTTTTAAAAAAATTTATGAGTAAAAGTATCCCATCTTTAACTTGCCTGCAACAGTACTTTGGCCCAAAGCTATACAACATAGAGAATAAATTTAAAGTGTGTATGTTGAAATTATATATATGCATATAGTGCAAAAATGAGACACTCCATTGCTTTCTACTCAATGGAAACATGGTGGTCTGCACACTGACTAAAGAAATAAAGGTTGTATCACGTAGGGTGAACCCCCCTCAATATTTCTATAGTGATTGTTGTGGTCAATGTGCAAAGCAAAAGCCTCTCTGAAGTCAAAGCTGATGATCAATGGTGGACCACCCCCTGGTTGGAGAATTTCCCAGTAGCTGGATTCCAGGCTCCATACTATGCCAGTTTAAACACAGAAGTTCAAGTGTAGATACCACAAAAAAAACTCTTAGAATCTTGAGGTCTTATATTTCCCCAAGGGAAATCATGTGTGTGTGTGTGTGTGTGTGTGTGTGTGTGTGGAGGGAATGACAGGAGAACTTGTATGAAGTTCCTAATGTAGGTTATACATCAAGAAAAAAAAAAAACAAACCAAAAAAACAAAACCCAAGCAAACAAACATGCAAACTCATGATGACAAGTTCCCCTTGCAATGAATGTCGTCATTGTGAAGTAGTCATACAGGCAGAAACCAGCATCTGCAAGTCAGTCATGGAGGGAGACTGACGGGTCTCAGCACAAGCACTCGTGCTCTTGGGATTTCTGCAGTGCTGCCAAGATGTGGCTTGCTTGCTAATTTCTCTTATGATCATATTCTAGAGAAGATTTCCATAGTTTCATTTTGGCTGGCTCATCAGTCTTCAATGACTGATGACACTGTGATTTTCACAAAGGTTTTCAGTAAAAAAAGGGTATTTAGCTTTATTTAAAGCAATGCTCTTTCCATGTAAGAAAGTCTGGGTGCTGTTTGTTTTTGGTTCACATGAGAATATTATCCTCCAAGGAATTTACACATATCAAATAGTCTCCAACTCAAAACAGCACAAATGACCATGAATATGGTGCTTAGTTTTCTCCAGTACAACTGTAGAAAGGGTGCTTGAGACTTCTGCACAGTTTACTTTCTGAGGAAAGGTCCCCACAGTCATGCCCAAACCTGCACAAATAGTTGCCTCATACAAATTATTGGAATTATTATGAACCCAAATGAAAACACAAGCTTTCCTTTATTATTATAGTTATTTCCCCTCCTTATTGCAACAAATACTGTTTGTCCCTGATGCAGTATTACACCTTGAGAGTTTGAATTTAAAATTTGGTCATGTGAAGAATGATCACAAAGATTTTTGTTTTTCATTATCTACAGAGGTTTGCTTTTTTTTTTTTTTTAAACCAAAGTTACACTGTAACACACAAACGCTGTCTTGTAGTTAAGGCACAGCACATCAGTATGAACATTCTGTTTGCCAAACTTTTTTTTTTTAAAAAAAAGAAACAATATTATACTCCCCGTCTCCCTCCCTCGTCCCTCCCCCACAAGTGAAAGAGAAAAAAAATTGCATCCACTTTCAAAGTCAGCTGCTAGTAAAGTCACAGTAAATTATTTTCATCAATAATTTACACAAATTACAGGTCTAGATTAGACTGTCCTTATACAGTCTGAGTGCATTCCAATTCAGATTCTCGGGGTTAGGTAGGCTAAAGTCAGATTCAAACCTCAGGGCTGAGCCGAGTTCTCCAGTTGAGGAATGTCAGTGAACACCACCTCTTCAGACGGAGCCTTTGTGTTGGTGTTTGCCAGGGTGAGAGTTCTTTGCTAAAGCTGTTAATTCCACTTAGACTCTTTTGGTGTGTACCAGCAACCTCCACAGATTTGTTGTGTTTTGTTTTGTTTGGTTTTGTTTTTTCTTAAAAAAAAACCCAAAACATTTAAGTATTGTAAATGTAAGACCATAGAGCTTCCTTCTTGTAGGACTAAAGTTTTAATTCCATTCAGCAACCGGAATTCTTCATTCTGGAATTCTCATTCCACATATGATTTCATCCTTTAAGACAATTTATATGTGTAAAGCCGGAGGCATCGAATCACACATAAAAATTCAGTGTACTTGAAATATAAAAAGGGAGCTCCCCAGTTGGAGAACACAGTTACAAATACTCTAATTCCAGTGCCTGATGTAGGGCCAAGAGGTCAGAGTGACTTGATATCCTCCAAAAGGGCATGTTGTGCTGTGGGGTTGAGAGAAGGAGGGCAGAGGAGAGAAGAGGAAGGAGGGAGAGAGATCATAACTATTGTCTCCACAAAGCAGCAATACACACAAAAATGTAGTTCACCCAAGGTCAAGGGAGGAGGGGCAGAGTGGAGGGACGTGGAGATTTGGAAACATCAGCAGAACATTGCCAAAATCATAGTAAATAGATCTGAACTGGATTTTAATGATGATTTAAACAAACGTTGAAATTTCTTAAGTAGCTTATATTTATTTATTTTGGGAAGTGGCAATGCCAAGGCCAACATCTGGGAAAGCTCGCTGGGCATCAACATCCTACTTGGTGGATTAAAAGAAAGGTTTTATCCCTACCTCACTCCTCATTGTCTTTCTCTTAGGTCAAATAGTCATAATAATTTTAAAATCTCTGTCAACTTGAATCCTAGTCTTTTGTCTACTCGAGAAAAGGAATGCCTTTCCATGTTTAAGCAAAAACAAACAAACAACAAAATGAATCCCAAACCACTCCAAGACCAAAAAATAAACAAGCATACAAAAAATATTTGAAGTTGAGTAATATAAGGTAAAAAAAAAGTGTGCTTAAAATTTTTACTTATCTGAGTTAACCAATAATGTAGCTGGTAGAATGGACCTGCTTCATTTCACTGGAGTCAGGTTGCGGTTGGGGGTGTTCCGCCACGCACCATGCACTGATGGAGGGAACATCATTCCCAAGGGGGGAAAAATGGATTGTTGTGGAATAAAAACCTCTCATATATGACAATGACTCTTAATGTTTCACAGATATATGAGTATACCACTAGAGAGCAGTCGCTAGCAAGCCGATTCTGGCTCCTGGCCTCTTGTATGCCAGAGTATCTGTGTTTCAAAGACAAAGCTAAAGAGTCCACGCTGACTCATGCAAACCCCATGCGTGTTGAACTAGAACTGTGCCCCATAAGATCTCCAGTGACTGAGTTTTTTGTTTGTTTGTTTTTTTCCCCAGTAGATTGTCAAAACTTTCTTTAGAGGTGTCTATGGGTGAACTTGAACCTCTACCTTTTGGCTAGCAGTGTAGCACATTAAGTGCTTGCACTACCTCGGTGCCAATGTATATTATATTACAATTTCATAGAAAGAAGTGATTGTGGGAAAAGCCTAAGCAAATTCTACTAGGGTATTATGAGGAGGGGAAGGAACACAGTGCTAAATCAAATGACAAAAACAAATACCTTTTTTTGTCAATTGCATCTCATAAAATATATATGTATGGGAAAAACTATATGAGTGAGAAATGAAAAATGTGTTACATAGCAATTAATAATTGTGATATTGACAAATGATTAGGTGTTGAGACAATACTCTTTTGGATATATCAGGTTAATTCTATTTCTACAGAAGAGCTGCTATATACTATTATCCTTGAGGCAGAGTCAGAGGGAAGCAGAGTCAGAGTGCTCCTTAAATGGGAGCACGGTGAGACTTTGCCTCTTAGGCTTTTGTTCTCAGAAGAGACCAACCAAGGACAGGAACCCTGTGCTTGGTGAATAGAGGATCAGTGACAAAGAGACAGGCCCTCCAAGAGCTGGACTGGCATAGTGACCTCAACCAAGCCTGCAAGGGATTGTACAGAAGGAACAGGGCAGGGGAGGGAGCAGGGCCCGGTTCTCTTGTGCAGAGAGAAGGTCTCTTAGGAGGAGCCTGAAGCAACTCAGTAAAAAAACCTCACAAAAAAATGGCAACAATCTTGGAAAGTTCTTAAACTTCCCTAACAAAGTATATGTTTTAGTTCAAATTAAAACACAGAGTTGCACCTAGAAATAATTTTTGTTGTCATTCAGCTCAGATCTATTTTGTAATAATAAAACAGTACTTAATGTTTCTGCACATGCAATTACAGCTACATCCAAAGAAAAGCATGCATTCTGGATACTAGAGTAACCAACCACCTAGGTTTTAAAACAGGATTATAAACCTTCACCATCACCGAAACTGTACCTACATAAACAACCATTTGGAAATAGCATTCTAACCAAAGTTCTTACTCACTGGGGGTCACGTCTTTTTCTCCTGAAGTCTTGGGTGTAAAGAGGAAGGTATGACCATTGGTATACACCAAGTCTACCTTTCACAATATAGACAGATGAAGCAGATTTTTTAATTTTTAAAGGCTTATACTGGCTGGAAAAATGAAATGTATTATCGTTCACCTAGATATAAGAGCTCTGGTGGCCTAGTGGCAAGAAGCTGCACTGTAATCTCAAAGGCACAGGTTAAAAGATATGTAAAGTGCTCATGGCAGTGGCTGCACCATTAACTGCTATTTGTTGTGCATAATTATGGTGTCAGTGAAAAATCAAAACACTATGGATGGAGGGCATCACCAAATTCAGAAGGACGGTAGTGGGGTGTGACTGGAAATGTTTCAAACAGTAGTCAGTAATAAAAATTGTTCCTCAGGGCTGGAGCCCTGACTTCACAGAGAATGTCCTTGGGTCTCGTGTGCTGTCCTGGGTCCCTGACATTGCTAATCAAGACCTATTGTGTGTGTGTGAGGCAGAGCCTGCACCTGAAGTTATGAACAAGCACTGGGAATTTCAAGTATGGCTGCCGACACTGTTATCGAACCTTCTAAGCTAGCAGTGGTCTCCCACTCACCATTTTGCTTGATTTGAATAGACTTGAAACACAAATTGTTTCCATTTTTCTTTCTATAATGCTCATGAACTCCCCCAGTGAATGGTTTATGGGGACTGCTTTACCTACAGGGAGAGGTGAGTAGATATTTTTTATGTAGAATATTTTTGGCTGACACATAACTGACAAAAATTAAATTGACAAAATTAAAATTGACATGATTGACAAAAATAAATTGACAAAATTAACCGTGATATTCTTGCATTGCATAATTTCTGTTGCTTTTATGTTGGCTACACAATGTTTTGCTGTAAGGGAAGCAGTGTTGATCTGCCTGGTGGTGGTGACTGATGGTTTAGTGCCCTGAGGTCAATCGTTCTTCCTTTGTTCTTGAGCCAAACACTTAATGGTTTTTAATTGCCCTGGTTTCTTACTTAGAAATATGGGCCAAATGAAAAGTCTACTTTAAGTACCTTGGGCCTGTAGGAACTCCCTAATGTGTTCGAGGCCATCTGCTTGGTTTCAATTAAACCCAGTTGGCTCATCCAAGCAGAAGACTCCTAGAACATATGATGCACTGCTCCTATATCTCTAGAATAACTTGGCACAAAACAATCTGAGTAATATTCTCTATCCTAAAAACATCCTCTTAAGTTTTCTCACAACTCTTCTACTTCAGCTATTAAATCAGCTCTCTTTCTCTCCATAATAATACTTCCTTTTATCAAAGACTGTGTGGTATCTAAAGTAAGTGGAGGTGGAAAAGGGTAAGAAGTGGGTGGGCCATTTCAGATCACCTATATCTGAATGTTTTAGTGAGCTAGAGAGGTAAACACATTTACACACACTGAAATGTAATGAAATGACCCTATATTTCCTATTATTATATCTAGGTAAAAACAATGCTAGCCTCCAAATGGTTTATTTGAATGTAAGTATTGCCCCTCTCATGCTCTCATTGCTTTTTGTCTACAAATTGAAATCATGTGTCAAGCTTCCGCTGGGCCAAACTACAGGAATGCAAACTGAACAGCTTGCATTGGAAGGAGCACACCAACAGTATTTGAGACAGGTTACCTTTTTTGCTGCCTGTTCTTCTTCTACACCATCCCCAATTACAACATACACTACTTTTCTGCCAAACCTTTGCATTATTCGTTCAAAGCAACTTTCTTTTCCTGGAAGATAAATGAGATACAGTTCAGAGTGAAGTTACCTGGTTAGCGGCATGCTCTTCGTCTCGGCCATCTCCAATCACAACATAAGTTATGTTAGTGCCAAATCTGGACACTATACGCTCAAAACAGCTTTCCTTGCCTGAAAAACAATGCACTGCTTATTCTTCCAGCCATTGCATTCAGTAACCTGAAGATTTATAAAGTGTTAAGTTAATTTCTCTGGAACATCACTTCAACTAGCTTGTCATTTCTGGGTTTACAAAATCAACAAATATGTTCAAATAACACAGGGGTTTTATTCCAATTAGAGTATTAAACAATATGTTTGACACTCTCAGAAAGCCATCAGGGTTAAGCATTAGAAACCAAGAAAAATGTTAGGATGTTAAACTCCACCAAAAGAATGTCTGAAGTATTTTAAAAGCAGCTGGAGCGTTTGTTCCTTTAATGCTATTTATCAACCTTAGGAAACTCTGGTGACTTGGTGGTACGGAACTGCACTGTCAATCCAAGACACACAGTTCAAATCTCCTAAATGCTCCATGGAAGAAAGATGGACAATCTCCTCCTGTGTGATTAACTGTCTCTGAAAACGCCCTGGAGGGTCAAATAGGGGTTCCTTCCAACTTGATGCTACACAATAACAACAACAGACAGATAACCATTTTACTTTTAATAGACACAAATCAGCTGAACACATGATTGTGAAAAACTCCTATGGAAAAATGAAACCCTAAAGCTGGAATTACCTTGATGAACAACTCCTTTCTTCAGGTGCTTAGGAGTTAGTCCTCAGATTAACACGTTGCTACAAATGACGGTAATACATCAGAAAAAAAAAATGTGTTTCTAAGCAGGGTCGTCAACTTAAAATAGCGTGCGGTAACGTGTTAATTATAGTACGAGTGCTGTCTAATTGGGTAAGGCACCAAAGATAGTATTATCTTCTGAATACTACATAGGAAATCTATCATGAATTTCTACATGCTGTTCTTTTTTAAACACTACTGTTTTCTGAATGTTATTCTCAAACTGTTCATGTAGACATGGGCACATTTACATTTTTTTTCTTTATCAGTTTAAAAAATGCTGGCTTAAAGCGAAGCATAAAAATTATTTCCTTTTCAATTACATATAAGGAAACAACTTGGTCAACAACAACAACAAAAATAGTACCCATATTCAAAGAAGTAAATGCTTATGCCAGGAAAGAATTTTGTCAAGAGGCAAAACCCAAATTTTGCTGTATCTAAATTCGGTTTGCATAAGTACATACATTTGGGTAATAAATGGGCTTGTCCAGGGGCTTCTGGATGGCCATGTTTGTGACAATGTGGGATTTACTTTGCGCATGTCTGGCTCTTTCACTGCACTCCAGAACAGCTGCAGCTGGGGGCTGCGTTTGCTTGTGCTGGTATTAGAGGCCCACGACAGGTTATTTTTGGTGGGGATTTTAGGATTTTGAGCTGCTCTTGTCAAGGTGCCAGAGCCAAAGTTGCTGACCTTCAGGGCACATGCCACAACGCATCCCTTTCCCCAGGCACGTCCCTGCCAGACAACGGAATACGGATTCCAAAGGAGCCCTTTTAAGTTTTTCAAGATGGTCAAAGTTGATGCAAGTTTTGGGTTTGAAAGTGTATTTGAAGCCTTAGTCTGTGGAATGTACTTTGAGTCAAAGGTGACTACAGAGACACTCTCTAAAACAAAATAAGATGCTAAGACGCCCTTGCATATTTGTTCTTAGAAATGTGGATTTCCAGTCACTACTGTGATGAGAAAATTCAAGTTATGTTTTCTGATTCATAAAACTTCCCCCCACTAGGAATAAAGAACACTAGTTCAAACATGTGAGGCTCTTCTGCAATTGTCAAAATAGTATTTTAATTTTACCTTTGTTGTAGTTTGAGTCAAAGTTTACAAAGCAAACAGTTTCTCTTTTTTCATTCAACCACTGACATACATTTGGTTTTATAACATTAATTACAATACCAACAATGTCACTGCACTTTCCCCACTTCCTCCCTGCATTTCTACTTTCCATTAATCCTTCTATTCTACCCATTCCTGACTTGTGGGCTTTATCTTTGGACAAATGGTGCTTTTGAATCTTATAAAGTTATATGATTGGTTATTCTAAGAATTAAATGCTTTCCTGTTAATACTAGTCATCTTATAGGCTGTCTATTGTTTCTCTGACTACAAACTAAGCCAGAGGAGAGAGTATTGTTCCAGGCTTGAAGGATGACTGATGGGTCATTGTCTCCGGGTTTCCACCAGTCACTATGGGATCAGTCAGCCTCACCTATTTTGAGTTTTGTTTCACACAAACTAGCATCTTGGTTGAAATTTAGGTTAACTGCATATATAAGGATAAAGTGTTACCTACTTAAAAATATGAACTTCTGAGGCGTGAGATATTGCATATTACTTAGAAAACATGTTGGTTAAACTCTATGAAATACATAGAATGAGTTTGAAGTATGCAGATACTGAGTTCAGAAATAAGTAGCCAAAAGTTGTCCTAAAATTTATACATGAACAGTGAATTGCAAGGATCTTCGTTAACTGAGATCTCTCCAAGTATACCTGGTGCTTGAAGAGCAAGTTTGACGGAGAAAAAAAAGAGGTTCATGTAGAGACACAAATAAATAAATAAAATAAAAGCCCCAAACAAAGTTTAACTGCAATTCTTTTCTTTTCTTTTTTACCAATTATTTTTTTAAACATCATTTCTTACCTATTTTTGTTGCACTGTAAATATTCTCGATGGGGAAAGCGCCTCCCAAGCTATAGAGGAGAACCTTTGCAAGTGCAGGGATCAGCTGAGTTGTTGTTACCAACACATTTACACAGTTACTCCTAAAACAGGGAAGAGGCACATTATTTCTTTTCTCATGAGAAACACATTCTAGTAGAATTAAGTTTGAAATTGTCACTGTGATCTCCTGATTCATAATAAAAGCCCTTGATAATATAACCACTCAGAACTGTTGTTTTTGGATGTCACTGAGTTGATTCCAACTCATAGCAATCCTGTCGATTAGAGTAGAGCTGTCCCGTTGGGTTTCCTGGCCTCTGATATTTATAGGAACAGATTACTAAGTCTTTTGTCATGTGGAGCTACTGTTGGGTTTAAAGAATGGGCCTTTCACTATTCAATAGTCATTTAGGGAATGCTGACTACCTCGAGGGAGCTCCGGTGGTAGAATCCATAAGAATTGCACTGCTAATCATTCCAAAGCCTGGCAGCCTGGATCTACCAGTGGCTATGTGAGAGAAAGTGGGCAATCCCCTCCTGTATGATTTAGAGACTGAGAAACCCAACGGATGGTCTGCTATGAGTTCATACTGGATGGCAATGAGTGCTCGATTTAAAGACAAAGCTGTGCTTGATTTGAGCCATGGCATTTTTCAGTTGTTTCTTAAGCATCTGAAAGTTGGACACTGAATAAGGAAGACCAAAGAAGAACTGATGCCTTTGAATTGTGGTACTGATGGAGAGAACCGAATATACCAGCCTGCCAAAGGAACAAGCAAATCCATTTTAGATGAAGTGCTTGCATTAGAGGCAAAGGTGGTGAAACTTTGATTCACATACTTTGGGTGTATTTTCAGGAGGGGCTAGTCCTTGGAAAAAGACATCAAGGTGGGAATAGCAGCAAAAGAGGAAGACTGTTAACTAGATATATTGACACACTGACTGTATCAATGGGCTAGAACAGGTACACAGTTGTGAAGATGGGAAGAGCAGGGCAAGATTTAGATCTGTTGTTCATAGAGATGCTAGGAGTTTGTACCCAACTCAATGGCACCCAACAATAACAACAATACGGTGCTGGGAAATACAAGAATACAGGCAAAAAGAATTTGTCAGTGAACAACACACATTTTATTCCATTTTCCTTTCAAAATAGGGAGAAAGACAAGCAAATAGACAACTGCAGTTATAAAGTAGCTTTACAGCAAGGATATTCTAGGTCCTTATGGAATCCTAGAGAAGGGTGCCTACCAAGGCCAGTAGCATTATGGGAAGGCTTATCAGAGGGGATGTGGCTTAGTTATATGAGCATCCTGATCTGGTATGTATGTGTTTATTTATGATAGTACTCCATGGCTCATGGTTTACAAGACCCAACAAGCAGAAGATACAACCAGAAAGAAGGTGATGGAAGGGTAGATGGAGTTTTTGGTTTGTCCAAAAGCCTAATTAATGGGCTGGCCCAGGATGGTTCCTGAAAAGGTAGAAACAGAGAATTTTTATTTATTTCTGAATGTGATGAATTCCTGAATCTCCTCTACAACAACAAAATGGTGAATGCATTTAATGGTCCCAGTTTCAGCTGTCTCAAAGCTTCACTCTTGAGAGTGGCAATCTCCTCTTTTATAACGTGGAGCTGTTTGTTTCACATCAGGATATTCAGTGGGGAGGGGAGGAGGAAACTTAAAAAGAGATTAGGGTTATGAGAAGCAGAATCATAAAGAATGGACTTTTTCCTGATTACGAAGAGATTGTTCCATGTTGTGTTGAAGAGTTCAAGCTACAGACATGAAATTGGGAATTAGACTCGCATAGATAAGGAAACTATCTCCTACATATTCTTGTATCCTTTAGAACAATGTTATGTAGAATATCTCAAGTCTGTAGAATATCTCCCATGACTTAGTCTAGAATCCTACTAACAGCCAGGAGTTGACTGCCAGATCTTAGTCTCAAACAACAGCAAGGTGAACGCCATTTTTCATGAGCAAAGCTTATCCCCAAGCAGAGCCAATATCATACCATGTTTTACTTAAATACATTATTTGTTAAAGATATAATTTATCCAAAACAATTACAATATAGCCTCTGAAAACATTCCTTTTAAATGATCTTTTTAGATGTCTGGCTTTGAAAAGGCACTTTGGCTCCCAGGAGCAAGTGATGAAGTTATCTATAATATAAGCTAAAAATCCAAAAACTTTCAGAGATAGAAAAAGAAGAATAATAGCTAATACAATCCTTACAATGATTAAAGAAGTGAAGACCTAGAAAGTGACTTGTCTATCAGTACAGAGCAGCTCTGGAAATAATAGCAGAGAGATTATTAAAAATAATACACAAACACATCATTACATTGCAGCACTGAAAATTCTACACACTGTTGTGTCAAAACACAATGCTGTCCAAAGTCACACGGAGATCAGTGTCACTGAGCACCAATGTGATAGAATGAGACAAAGCACAATCTTTAACAGTTCTGAAGTTTGGTTTTGAACTCTTGTTTCATTATTTATATTACAAGAGCTTCAGAATTAACTCATTTCCTTTTTTATCTAAATGTTACGTGGCGTGGAATTGACTATGACTCATAGTGACCCACTATGGTTCAAAATTGGGAA